AAAACAATATGTTTTAATAACAAATGATCACGTGAATGATCATTTTCCCAATTGTCACAACCACTGAAGCTTTCTACTGCTCAACGTTAAAGCTGTTTGTCCTAATGAACGTGTTCTGTTTTCCAGAAGCCTCATGGAGCTCACGCTCTGTTCCCTCCTCGTCCGGGTAAGAGTTGATTTTATTATCCAACAGTGTGAAGAGACGTGTTCAGGCAGCGTCAGTTGTTTTTTCTGCCTGACGTCACATGAAGAATCTGATTCAATAGACGTCACAGCAAGTTCAGGCCGGTTCTTAAATCTGTCATCCAACGATATCACGACCAGAACTCCGACGTTTCTTTATTCTGTCAAACAACAGAAGTCCGAGATTCTCTGAACGTTAAACTGCAGCTGAAGATAAAAACTGATCACACGCTGACGGACGCTTTGTGTTGTTGTGTTTTCAGCTCTACACAACCGGACGCAGCCTCGACTGTCTCTGCTCCCACACCCAGGGCTCCCCGGAGCGCCGCGCACGTCTTTTGGTGATTATCTCTCTTGTGCATGTTCTTTATTTAGAGCTGCAGCAACGTTTGACCTCATACACCTGAACCCCAGCAGCTTCCGTAGAGTTACACTCAAACTAACGTAAGTAAATATGAAAGAAGAGGAAACATTTGGAAAGAAAGAAAGTCTCGGCATCGTTTGGCCTAAAAGCAGTTTCAGTATCACTTGACCTGAATCCACTGATTTTACACTTTCACCACTTTTATCTTTTCTTTATTTTCTTCTTCTCTTATCAAACCAACCATATTATTCCCCACAGCGCCACCTGAGGGCCAGCAGGAAAGGTTGCCTCTTCCCGGCGCCGCTGAGCCTAAATGGCCTCATGTGTCACTCGGTAACAAGACTTTTTTTTTACTGAGCAGCTTTACCTGCTTCAGCTGAGCCCTGTGATGCAGCTGGGGGGGGGGGGGGGGGGGGGGTATGATTGGCTGGCTGGCATGCTCTGGTTAGAAAGTCGATACGAAGCGCGGAGGTGACGTCACGTGATACGAACAGGTTCACTTGCCCCGCCCACACTGATAGCACCCGCGGCTAATCTTTATTTAACCTCCCCGTTAAGGTCATGTGACGGCGGCCACGATGCTTCACCTGTTTGAATCATTTGTCTGCTGCCACGTTTCTTCTGCTTCTCTTCTTTCACTTTGAAATAATCTTTGTGTTTCCTATATTCGTCAGATATTTCAAATACCTTTTTAACCAATTCATCAAAATGTGAAACTTTCACAGCTTTAACACTTTTAGTTCCAGATTTATTAGTTCATCTTGTTTTATTCACATTCCATGAAAATATTTTGGGTAAAATTTCAGGATTCCCAGAAAAGTTTTTAGTTTCTGAAATTTAAAGATTCGGTGTATTTGAAATATTTGGGCAAACTGCACGAGTCCGTGGTCGGAGGTGAGTAAATGATTTGATGTTAATCTGAACTTTATTCAGTGAAACTTGATTCATTCAAGATGTTTGAACCAATCACATCTTTAGTTTGTTCCATCGCTCCTCCATCTGGCCTGACTGTGGTTGCCATGGTTACCAGTCTGCATGACAGGGTGCATGTTCAGACGCAGACGTGGGGGGGGCGTCCCTCCAACACAAGTCTTCACTTTCCTGTCCTCTTTGTGTCAATGTCACCATGTCTTCTTTTCTCTCCTTCCACGGGCTACGGAATTATGGAGAACTTCATCTTTGGCTGCAAACATTTAAAAAATGTATTTATCTTTCTGGGAAAGTTCCGAAATAAAAACATATGATAACTTCCATATTTTAAAAGACGTGTGTCTGGTGACGCTCACGTTTTCCCATGTTCCCATGACGACGGTACCTCTCTCCTCTTTTACTCCAGACGAAGGAAACACTGTTAAAAACGACAACAACCAACCGACAGATCCTCGTCCTTCCGCCCCACTCCTGCCGTCCAAAGTCCCCCACGCCGACACCACAGCCGCCCCCCTAACTAGATTACCCCCCCACAGGGACCCACCTCAGAATACTAAGACGCCCACTAATGCACCTGAGAAGCCTCGTAACCCTGCGGGTAATTTACTTATTTTTATCTGAGTGACATCCTCACCACGTTAAACCAGATGAATCCGTTTGTGGTTTCAAAGTATTTGACTTCCTGCTGCAGTGAAGTGATATTTGAAGTATCTGAGCTGCTTCCTGTTGACTTTGTGTTTTTGTGAGTGATGGTTGATTTATGTGAAACACATTGAAATCAGCTGGTGTTCGATCCCCTGCTGAGCGTGACGCTCTCTGTCGGTCCGACAGATTCATCAGCAAACAGTTCAAAGTCTTTTCAACAGGCTTCGTCTGCTGCGGGATTCAAACCTTTATTAATCTTTGTTGACAGGTCGAGGACGATCTCGTACACTGACACGCGCCTGCGTCTGCGTCCTGTTAAACCTTCTTTCTCCCTTGCAGCTTTCAGCCAATCACAGGACGGATCATCACTGCTGAGAACTGCTCTGACCAATGAGAGGGCTAGAACTAACAGCTGGGGTAATAATGACCTCATGGAGCTTCCTCTGTTTCGCTCTTTGTCTGCCGTTAATCTGCCGCCATCTTGTTCCCTCCAGCTTCCAGTTGTCGTGCAGCTCAGTTTTTGTTTGCTCGCTGTCAGAGTCGCATCTTTAAACTCATCTCATCCAACGCAGCCGCCACGCCCTGCATGCGGAGCACAATCTTACAGTCATGGTTGCGTCATCACATCGGTTTCAATGACTGTGGTTTCTGAAGATTGTGTTTGAAAACTAAACGTGAGTGATGTGAGCAAACGTTAACGTCGGAACATCACTAACATCATCGCTGCTGTAAACTCGCTTCTCTGGCATCTTAATCCAGAATCCCATTTTAACTCAGGCTCAACTGTTTCTGATCTTTTAGGTCAAAGCAGAAACTTCGGGCCGTCGCTGCCTTTACACCCGTACGACCCGGCGGCCAGATCCTCGAGGCTGGTGTCAAGAAACCCCCTCTTCCCCTCCTCTAATGGCTTCAGACAGCCCCCCCCCTCCTCGTCCTCTAGAACCAGTAACTCGTCCCCGACCTCCGGGATACTCGGGGGTAATCCTCCTCCTGCCACCTTCACTCTGATTCACCTCGGGTTGTTCCTCTGTGGTCTGAGGGTGGAAGATGTCGGACTAATGATCTTATAATGATTCTGGTTTTGTTCCATCTCACATTTTCTTTTCATTCCAAAGGAGAAGGACAAAACTTCAGACACTGATTCTCACCACGAACTTCAACACTTTGTTGTTCTTGTCTTTTGTTTGCTGCTGAATGAACTTGACAGATGAACAACTGCACGAGTCCGTTTGTCTAAAGTTTGATCGTCGTAACTTTACGTTCAAATCTATTAAAAAAAAAACAAATATCATTTTTCACCATAACAACTTCCAACTTCCTGTTTCTGTTTCAAGACGTCAAGACAATATATCAGCTGTGACGTCTGTGATTTTCCACTGCTTCATTTACATTCCTAAAAATTGGACAAAAACTTAAAAGACATTTAAAGCGGTCGTGTTTCTTAAAACCTTTCAGACGTCAAACACAAATCAAATTCTTCAAACTTTGAAAACATTCCGAGGACTCGAACTCTCGTTCTTTTCTCAGGTTCAGTTTCCAGATTCTTTCTCTCTGTAATGTTCAGTTTTCTTCCAACAGTTAACGGATATCACCGCCGGGGCATTTCCCCCCCCAAACCAGCCTTATGGCAACGACACCGACTGGGTAAAAAACCATGTTTGTGTTTCATCATTAACTCTCCGGTCACTCCCACCGCAGCTCATCCTGGTGTTTTTGTCTCCATCCATTGTTTGTTTCAGTACTTTTGTCTTTCATTCGTCCCTCCATCGCTCGTCGATGTGTCCATCGCTCGTCTTTGTGTCTCATGTTTTTGCTGCTGCAGGTTTTCATCAAAGCTTCAAATAATCAGGTGGAATTGAACTTGATTATTTGAGTGTGTTATATAAGCTGATGTCACTGTGGTCATGTGGTCATGTGGTCATGTGGTGGGGGTGTAAACGTCTGTGGTCGCTGGGTTCATCTTCATCACACTCAAACAGTCTGAGGACGACCAATCACACGTCAGCAGTTCATCTTAATGAAGCTTCTGTTGAAACGACATTTTTAATGAGAAATGATGATGAATTTGAAGAGCTTTTATTTTGACGAGCAGGACGAAGCTTTGAACTTGTCTGTTTGACTATTTCTTCACCAACGTGGCTGAAGTTCAACAATGAAAATAAAAAGTGAAGCACTTCCTCTTCAGATGTGATGTAAACAGCAGATGAATCTAAAGTCAGAAACATGACGTGTGGATGATGATGTCACGTGTGCGTGGTCGTCCTGTCCAGTCAGCGTGAGCTGGTTTCTGCTGTCGTCCATGTTTTATTGTTTCTTCTTCGTGTTCATGTCTCAAACGTGTCGACAAGAACTTTGTGTTTAAGATGTGAAACAGTGGAACCTTCAACAAATCAAACAAAGTTTAACGTCCATGTTTTTCCGCCGCAGTGAACAACTCGCTGCTGGACGACGACACGTCTCAGCTGCCCGACGTGTTTGATCGTTCTGGTCCTCGGGTCGAGCGGCGGTTTCACGGTAACGGTCTGAATGTCGCCTCTCTCCTCATGCTCGTTTGCTGATTGGCGCTTCATTCGCTCTGCGCTGCCAACTCTGCATGGTTTGGCCGTTCTGGATGTCGAGAGACGAATGTTTAAAACGAGCGGGAAAGAAAATCCCGGTCGTCGGTCTGAGCTTCAGCAGCGTCTGTGGAAAATTCTTTGTGTTGATGGAAAGAATGTTCTCCTGCCGTCGTTTACTTACTTTTCAGAGCTTTTTGTCACCGCAGAAGTTTAAGGAAACTGTTTCTTATTATTCTGTGACGACGCTGCTGTTATTTCTGTCCTCCAGCCTCAGCTGCTGCTTTTTGCTTGATTGCGATCACTGCAGGCTGCAGACATGTTCCTGCAGAGACGCCGTGTTTAGAGAAGGCCGGACACGGCGTGGCATCCAGCGAGAATGTGCAGACGAATGTTTGCTTTTGGTTTGAGGATTGTTTGTTTGTGAGAATCAGACAGTGTTTATTTCATCTGGTTTTGTGCTGTAATCACGATGCAGTGAACGTTTAATTTATGTTGAAGAATAAAAGAACGTTTACAGAGGACAGGAAAAGAGTCGGCGCTGCAGGCGACCTGGCGTCTCCGGCGCTGTCACACACGGTCACATGTGAGCGACTGAGAGAAGCGTCTGTATTGTTTCATGTTTGGAGCTGAAACATCTTTCATGTTTCTGGCTTCGCTCTGATTCCATTTAGTTCTGGAAGCGACTCAACTCCCTGATTGTAAAGAATTTGTGCAATGAAAGAAAGAAGGGAATTTAATTGGCTGCAGCTTCTGGACGTCAGCCTGAAAAACAAACGCTCTGCGATCTGGTGGAATTAAACAAGAGCGCTCATGTTTTCAGGTTGAGTTGGAACCAGGTATCGAGTTCTCATGAGAACAGAGGAGATTTTCCAGCAGATTAGAAATCAGTTCTCTGGAAAATAAAGCTTTGTTTTTTCCTTATTTAGACTCAAAGTGTCCAAAACATGAATCTGAACCTGATTCACAGTAAAAAAAAAAGTTCCACTGTTTCACATCCACAGAGATGAAGTCGTCTTCTACTTGTAAACTTGTTTTTCAGTTTCATATGATCTGTTTGTTCCAGGATCACCTGCTCGTCCCCTCAACAAGAGGCTGAACCTGGTGGGGAAACCTGGAGAAACAGGTGAGAAATGAGGAAACTATCAAAAACCTTTTTCATGTTTTCATTTGCTGGAAAAGTGAAGTTTTCTTTTCATCAGACAAAGTCAACGACTTCAAGCTGACGGACAAGTTACTGATTCTGAAACCCAAAGTCCCTCCAGCCACCGCCAAACCAGAGCGGAGACAGACCCCCACCACGACCGCAAGCACGACGGCCAGTACGACCTCAAGCACGACCTCAAGCACGACCACCAGTACGACCGCACGCATGACCTCAAGTACGACCTCGACCACTGTGGCACCAACACCTGGTACGAACACTTTAAATCAACCAAACGCTATCGTCTGTACTGACTCCGCCTCCACCAAGAAGGGTGTGTTTTGGCCTCTGGTTGTTTGGTGAAATTCTTCTTCTTGGCCTCTTTATCTTTGTTTTGTTCCGGTTCTTGTAGAACCGATGTTTACGCTGAAGTTCTCTGTGTTGAAAGAACTTTTTTCAGTTTGTTTCTTTGTGTTTCTTGTTTCAGCGACTCGACAGGAAACGTGGGAAGACTCTGACCTGTTCAAGTCTCAGCCGACCTCAGACATCGACGCCATGGGAAATAAAAGATTTGTTGGTGAGTGGAGTTGATTCAACTGAAGCTTTCAAAACAAGTTCTATTGCAGCAGGGAATTGAACCCTCAACCCTGGCAGTGTTGGTGCCTTGCTTTGATATATCAAAGAGAACACTGACTAACCCCTTCCCTCCTCCTCCCACAGCTCCTCACGTCGTTTATCAAACAGGAAAGAAACCGGACGAGCCGTGTTCCATCACTTCCTCCCTCAACTACTTTCCTGAAGACGAACACGGTGAGGCCAACGCGACGGCACCGCCCAAGACTCCACCCTCAAACCTCACCGTGGTGACGGTAGAGGGATGTCCGTCCTTCATCATCCTGGACTGGGAAAAAACCGACAATGACACCACGGGTACAAATACACAAACGTCTCATGATGATTGTTCATCAGATTCAACAAAATACAAAACCTTTTACAAACATGTTTGTCTGACTGTACGATGTGTTCATACAAATCTTTCCCATAATCCTCTTGTCTTTTCCTCAGAGTATGAAGTCATCTCCACCGCTAAAGGACCCGATGGCGAGCAAGTTTCCATCCTGAGGACCAACCAGACTCACACGGCGGTGGAGAACCTCAAACCTGAGAGCAGGTGAGTCGTTGACCTTGAGTTTGACTGAAGATCAGATTCAGAAGAAGATTCAGATCTGAACTTCACCTCTGACCCGTTGACCTTCGAGGGCCCAGTGGAGCCTCGGGTTCACTTCAGTGTTTCAATAAAGTTTTATTTTATTTCAGTTTTTTTATGATTACGGAGCAGGAACACAGAAAACAAAAACAACCGTGTTAACGTCACTTTTACTTAACAACTGAACGACTTCCCCTCGACGCCATCAAACCTCCAGTGACTCCAAAAGAAAAGAGGTCGCTCACCGTCACTCACAACTCAGCAACGTTCACAAACGACCTGCTCGCCAGCTGCTGCCACACATCTGGACACAGCTGTCCAATCACATAGAGGCAGTCGAGTCATTTCAGAGCCGAGCGCTGTCGCCACCACTGCCAGATGTTCAGGATGTAGAATAATCACAACGAGTCTGTTTAACACACTGAGGTTAAATGAGTCGCAGATAGAAACGGTGACATCAGGACATCATGTTTACGCATTTAAACGTGAAAGTAAGGGAGTATTTTAAACTAGGTAACTTGAGT